CCTCATCCAGGTTGGTTGGTTAAAAATTTCTAATTAGATGCCAACATTAAAAAAACCCAGCCTGCACGTGATCCTCACGATTTCAGCTTTCCCCAAAGCCTGGAAGCACTGCAGGCCGCCTAGGCCGGTGTGTCCGCAGCACAAAGAGCAAGCCGGAGCTCAGCCGGAGGCCAGGACCCTCTCTCCTGGCACCACAGCCGCTATCCATCCTGCCCCACTCCATGAGGTCACTGGGCTGGCATCAAGTTCATTGGCTCCCTCTCCCTCTCTCCTTCACCATCTGCACCCCCTTCTTTTGTCAAATGGCTCCTTGTGACCCCCATTCAATAGGACACATGGCTCAAGCCCCTCTGTCTCTGTGCACGCGGTCCCCTCTGCCTGCGATGTCCTTGCTCCTGGGTGTACCCAGCTCAGGCCAACCTCATGCCTTCCCAGCTCCTGGGCTGGGTTAGGCGTGTCCACCGGGTCTACCTGCTGGGTGCCATTTGGCAGGGCCCTGGTTTACACTTGCCACCCAACACTCCATGTGGGTGACTAAATGAATGGCGTTTTGTCCCTATTTCACAGAGGATGAAACAGAGGGTTAGGGGAGTGACTGGTTCACTGCCTCTCTAAGACCAGCAGACAATGATGCAGGAGGAAGGACCCTTGTCCTTTCTGGGTCTTCAGATGCTGTTATGGGTTGATTATGTCCCCTCAAAAGATATATGGAAGCTTAACCCCAGTACCTTTGAGTGTGACTGTATTTGGAAACAGTCTCTGCAGAAGTCGTCAAGATAAGGTCATAAGGGTGGGCCCTTAGCCAATAAGATCATTGTCCCTAAGAAGACAGACACACGCAGGGAGAGCAGCATGTGGCACTGGAGGCAGACACTGGAGCCACAGGTCCTCAGGCCAAGGAGCCAAGGATCCCAGGCGACACCACGATGCTAGACAGAGGCAGGGGACGGATTCTCTCCCAGGGCCTTCACAGGGACGATGGCCCAGGGGACACCTTGATTGTGGACTTCTGGCCTCCAGTTAGGTCACCTATTTTTCTGCAGCTGCCCTAGGAAACCCCAGGGAGCTGGTCCGTGGAGGGCCCCGGGCTGCCCAGTTCTTGGACTGCTCTACAAGGTGGGACTGCAGGGCAGGGTGTCCTGAGATGGTGGCAGGGTCACCCTGGCTTCCCACTTCCTCTCAGTCTGGACGATGGGAACAATAAAAGTACCTACCCCAACCTCAGCTCCCTCCTGAGGCAGGTGTGGTGGAGGGAGGGAGAGCAATTGCTCGATTTTGGAGCAATTTTACAGGTTCTATTATTCTGGGCCTCAATAGTTTAAATTGCTGAGTCAATATTGTGCTTGGTGGCTTTCAGTGACCACATGACCTTTTATGGGAGAGCCAAGGACCTGTTCTACCTGGGGAGGGAGTGGGGTAGCCCTACTGAAAAGGTTTACACTCCAGATCTCAGTCTTGACCAAACTGTGGAAGTACTGACTCCCAACCCCCAACACTCACCTAGATTGCCATGGAGCATCGGGGTGGGGCCTGGGATAGGGTCGGGGACCCCTGAAAGCCCCCCGGTGATTCTAATTGCAGCAATGTTTGAGAGCTACTGGGTTGAGACTAGTCACCAGAGGGGACTAAGTTTGAGCACTATGCCACAGGCCTGCTCATTCCACCCCAAGGACATGCTCCTTGTCCCTGGGGTGTTTCAGGGTGGCAGGAAAAGCAGCTGAGTGTCTCCAGGCTTGGGATGTGGTCCCTCAGGACCTGCAGGCTCTTCCTCAGCCCTGACACAGCCCCATGTCAGGAGGGCACTATGCAGAAGGATTTGGAGGTAACTGATGTCCACCCAAGACATCTAAAAAGAAGTTTTTCGAAGGCTCAGCTTGGACAGGGACTCCTCCTCAAAAAGTTTACGTGCTCTGGGTTTTCCTAAATTACAATCAGGAACGGTATTTAATAAATATGCAAGGAGAGGAAGCTTGGGCTTGGGTCAGGAGGATCTGGTTTCATCCACTTCGTCAGTAATGGGGACAGCATGCAGTCCTGAACCTGCCCAGTCCTCCAGCTTCCGGCTGCCACGGGACAGAGGTTTTCCCAGGGCACTATCCCAGGACATGCCACACCCCTGTCCACAACCCACAATGGCTCCTAGCGCAGACTGATGACAGTCAACTCTTCATCCCCCCAGTCAGCACCTCTGACTTGCCCTGGCCCCTGTCTCCCAGCCCACTGTATCTCCTTCCCCCCTCTCTCTCTGAAGGACTCTGAATATCTCCTGGGCTCCCCTCTCCTCGATTCTCCTCCCGGGATGTCTTTACTCCCAGGTCCAAAAATGCCCAGAGATCTAATCCTTCTAAAACCTATTCTCCAAGTCCTGAAGATGTCAGGTGCTCACATTTGACATCTCTCATTCACCATCTTTTCCCGTCTCTCTTCACGTTCTCATCCAATCACCTCAGAAATACTTGCTGAGGGCCTACTATGTGTTAGCCACACTGCTCAGCCTAGCACTCGACCCATTCCTTTGGCTAGGTCTTGGCCTGACCCATCGTTTGCCCGATAGTCCATAAGCACCCAGAAAGGAAATCCACATGCCATTCAACTCTGTCCCCCGCACCCCTGTCCTGGTGCCTGGCATGGAGCTTCTTCCACTGAAGAAAGTGAAGAAGCACTGATGTCTCCCTGTGGGCTGCCCATGTCATAGGGCAGGCTGTGCGGGGACGGACACAGTCACACCCAGTGGCCACTGTACACACTAGGGCAGGTAGGGACACTCACTCCAGCCAAGCCCAAGTGCCGCACATAAAGCAGAAATAGCTCCCATCCCAAGGGAGACAACTAGAAGAGCCACGCCAAGAAGCAGTCCTGGAGCACAGCCCCACAAGGGCTCTGGGAAAAGCACCGCGGGAGACCACCTCCTGGGAGGAGAAGAGACCAGCCATCTTGCAGCATCTGTCTGTTCCCTTCATTGAGCCTTTCTCAGGGTGAAGCAGTAAGGTGGAACACCCAGCAGCCTTGCAGATTCTCGGGCCTAGACTGGAAGCTCTGTTCTCTTCCTCATAACAATGTGTCCTTGGGTAAATTGTTTAATCTCGTCATAAACTTATAAATAAAGTTTGGTATCCTGATCTGCAAAAACAGGGCCTACATCCCAAACTTGTCAGGGTTTATTGTAATACTACATGCCAAATGCCTGGCATCAGGCACACAGTAGGTGCTCAGCAAACCTTTTAACACGCCTTCTATTGGTATGAAAATGTATGTTCCTAGTCCTTGCAGCTAGCAGAGAACGGAGTTAGTAATCAATGTGAAACATATCAGCAGAAATAAATCGACCTAGTGAAATGGGAATTACACACACACACACACACACACACACACACACAAGAAAACCTAAAAAAGGAAAAAAACCCAACCTCTATAGGTTCTGCCCATAGGTGCTGAAAAGCCTATGTTTATTTTGTCAAGTCACCATAGCAACTGTTGATGCTCCAGCCAGCCCTGGGTTAGCAATGATCAATTTATCTTGTAACCATGGAAACGCCAAGGTTCCCAGGGATCCAGAGGGGAAGGCAGCCACAGACTTGTGTGAGCTCCTCTCCCTCCTCGAAATAAATCCTGGAAAACCCCCTCCGGCAGCTAAATCCACCTCTATCTACAACAGCGATGACTGTTTGCTAGATGGCAATATCTACAAGCACGGATTTAGGAACAGGAAATAGAAAATCAGGCAAAAAAGGGCCAGCAATGCCCATAAGAGCAATTAGCATCACGGAAAACTTGTTAAGAGGCTGGTAAAAGCTGGGCTCTGGATTCCCCAGAGCAACCTGTGGACTGTGTCCTCTGAATGCCTTGGATTGGGGATCACCCTCCACAATCTGGATTTTGCTGTGATATTTTAAGCAGACTTTCAGCACAGGTGAAGTTGGGGAAAAACAAAGTGTGCCCTCAAACTTCCACCTGGTGAAAGAAAGCATCAGCAGGCAAGGTCCCTGCTACACAGCCAAGAGACTGAGAGGAGCCTGGGTGGCCTACCTGCCCTGCTCTCAACGCATCCAGCCAGCACAATCCTGGAAGATGCAAGGTCTGAGGGTTGGACTGGGGTTCATTTTTCCCAGACAAATGGGGCCCTGCCCTGGATGCAGACCAGTCAGCATGGTGGTGAAGCAGTAAGGTGGAAGTTTATGTGCTTCCCCAGGGCCACATGCAGCTACAGAATCAGGGGTTTCTCTTTGTTCTGGCTCAAGAGAGTTAAGGCACAGAAATATAATGAGCACCCAGGCTCAGAACTCAAAGGGCTCTCCAGGAGCCCAGATCAGCCGTAGTGGGAACAGGTCATTAGTCTTCCCTGCCATGAGGAGCCTGTTTGTGTGGAGGGAAGAGTTATGATCTCGCTCCGCACTGAGGGCTAATCAGACTCAAAAAGCAAAAATGGGTAAACTGGCCCCTGGGCTTCGAAGCTTGCCAGGTCACAAAAGTCTCACTGCCTTCCTCCAGGCGGCCAGGGCTATGGTCCCCGCTCACAGTGGAGAGAAGGAAGGCGCCCGAGGTCACCTGCAAGTGGCAGATTACCCAGCTGCGCCTCGCAAAAAACAGAGCTGGGAAGTGCGCGGTTGTCCACCCACCCGCTTCCCGCGGGTCTGAGCTTCGCCATCCCCTGCAGGCCCGGGTGGGGGCTGGGCAGGGAGGGGGCGACTCGGCTGCTCAGGTTCTTAGAAGCTTTCTTGCCTCCCCTAGGGGCCGGAGTGGGAAGAGCCCCACCCTGGGGGCGCAAGGTGCACCGCCCACCCCATCCCGGGAAAGCCCCGCTCCAGCCCCCTGGCGCGAGCACCAGGTGGTGCTGCCCGGCTCGCCTCGGGACAAAGGACCAGGACGTGGATCCTACACGGGCGCCACCGCCCCGCCCGACCGCTCCTGCTGAGCTCAGCTCCGGCGAGGAGGGGGAGGCTGTGGCTCTGCACCTCCTCAAACTTGGCGACCCAGGGCGCATGGGGAAGGTGCCCCGTTACCTGTGCGGCCATAAAAGACAGATCCATGGTGTCACTGCTCCTGCTGCCGTAGCTGATACTGCCACCTGCGCTGGAGTGTTCGCTGTCGCCGCTGCTGCTGCAGATCCAGCCGCCTGCACAGCGGGCCGGGAGCGGGCGGAGCAGCGAGCAGGCGCCCCCAGATCCCCGTGGCGGCGGCGGCGCGCCCCTCACCAGTCCCGGCGTGGCGGCGCGTCGCGACCAGCCCTGCGCCCTCAGCTGGCTCCGGGTTCCCTCGCTCCAGACGGCGAGGGGGCGGGGCCCCTAGAGCTGGCAGGGGGCGGGGCGGGGCGGGACTCCAGTCAGGCACCCTCCACGTGACCACTCCCAGCCCCACCCTCTGGGGCAGGGCCTGGCGGACCCTCGAGCGCTCGCAGTCGTCAACCTGCGAGGGCCGGTTTGGAGAAACTGAGGCCTGAGTTGAGGCCACTCATTAGTGCAAAGACCAGCGACCAACCCAAACCCAACGCTGTTGGCCCCCGGTCCCGTGCAGTTGCCCCCAGCCCTCCAGGGATCCTGGATGTGCTTTCTGAAGACTGGTGCATTGATCCCAAGCCTGAGGACCTGGATCACGCCGAGCAGAATTAGGGTGACTGGGCTTTGTGTGCCAATCCTGTACCCAGACTCCGGTGTGAGCCTAGGCGCAGGCAGAACAAAGTTTTACATCTAGCTTTCCTCTGTTGTACAGGGAAAGTTAGGGTCTCTTTGAGCCTGGGTTTGCGATGAGAGGTACGCAGCTACACGGGGTGAGCTCCAACATGGCCCGTGTCACATAAGGCAGGCGGCTGTGACTGGATTACACAGTGCACAGCTCGAACCACTGGCACTAAGCCCTTCTCCGAGCTCAGACAAGTCTCCCAAACCATGCAGATGTGGCTGAAATGAGGGGAGGGTGGAGATGCTGGCTCATCACATGTGCCCACATCCCAGACTTGGTGGTGGGTGGAAGCTTTGTCCTTTTCCAAGGGCTCACTAGGAGGGAACCAGTCTCAGTGAGTATCACCTGGTTCCTTATTGGAGCCACCTGTAAGCAGGGCAACCAAGGGACTCTCAGACATTGTCAAGGGCACTGTAACTCAAGAGAGATTCCTTCTACCCTGGGTTCCTTAGGCAGGAGGCCAGCAGGGACCCTAGAGGTGGGACCAGGTTCTTACTGATGGCTGGCTTTCAAGAAGGATGACCTCTGCAGACAGCTTCTTCCCTCTCCTGCCTTTCCCTCTGTTCTTTCTCCTTCTCTCCCTCCCCTTCTTTCTTTCTCTCTTTGCCTCTTCCTCTTTCCTCTCTCTTCCCACTGCACTCCTTTCGCATTGTGCTGGACTCTTCCTTACTTTGGGGCTCTCTGCAACTTCCAGCCAGGCTCCTACTCCCTTCCCTAGCCTCCCCAATTTTGTGCCTCCCTCTCAGCCAGGCATAACCAGTCACTTTGCCAGTCTCACCCAGTGCCCACACGGTCCATGCCAGCAGCCACCCGCTGGACGGTCAGATCCTCCCTGGAGTGACAGCTGAGCCGCATGATCAGGACCTTCCCTGCTGGCTGACAACAAGTTATGTACTTCAGTTGTGAAGTCTCATAAATAAAAAGGCCATGCATGCTGCAGCTGTACAGCTTAAAAAATAATAACGCCCCTCACAGTTTAGTGAGCGGAAGGGCCAGCAGTAGCCTTTAAACCCTGGTATCTTCCCAAATGTGTTTCTTACCTGCCCCATCCCCAAGGGTCTTCTCTGTCCTAAATTTTCACCTTAATCATCCTCTTGATTTTCTTTATAGTTTACCTGCTTTAAAACTTTATTAAAAAATGAAAATGCCCTTTGATGGATCCTTGCCTGACCCCCGCCCCCTTTTCAATCCCAGTGTTTGTGTGGCTGATGGTCTGTATCAGTTTATCACTGGCCCTTTGATCAGTATTTACCTCATCTTCAGATTTTCTGCTAGAGCAAGCCATAGTTCTGTGACCTCTTGAACTTGCATCTGGATGCACTCAGAGAATATGCTGGAATTGAAACTGTGGAGACATGTGTTCAGCTCATCTGCCTCTTTGCTAAATGATGTTCATTATTTCCAGTTTCTGATTTCCAAGAAATTACCTATTTTACTGTCCTAACTGTAGCACGTGTGGGTCCTCATTGCTGCACATCTTCACCAACAATTTGCATTCTTGGATCTTTAATTTCTGCCAATGTGCTAAGTTGAAGTAGTGTTTCATGTGGATTAAATCCTCATTGCTCTGATTACCAATGGCATTAATCATCTTTTGTACATCTATTACCTAGCCTCACTTCCTCTCATAAGAAATGCCTTTCATAAGGTCTCTTGTGTACTTTTTAATAATTCTGTTGTTGAGTTTTTCTGATTGACTCTTAAAAGTATCTATGTATTTTAGATACTAATCTTGCTGGCTATTGGTGTTATAAATAGCTTCTTTCAATGTTTACATTTAGTTTCATTCCCTTTGTTGATTATTTTGATGGACAAGTTTTTAGTTTTTGTTTAGTCAAAATTCATTACAGTTAGCCTTGGTTTAAGTAATCTTTTCAGGGCATAGTTGTGCCTACCTCTAGTCCCAGCACCTGGAGGCTGACCTGGGAGGTTTGCTGGAGTCCAGGGCTTCCAGACCAGCCTAGAAGATGTAGAGAGACCCCATATCCAAAATAACCTTTTCCCAACTTGAAACCATAGAGATGCTATCCCAGAGCTTTGTAGAAAAAAATAAAATATTTCTTTCTTTACAAGTTTCAGCTATTTTACAACTCAGCATTGGGTGAGGAAGCAATTCCGGTTTCCCCCTATTAATAATCAATTTCCAGTGCCTTGGTGGACAGCACTGGCCCTACCTGTTGGTCTGCAGCAGTGTCTGTGTGGAGTCCTTTTAGGATGGGTCTGGTTCTGCTGTTCTGTTCCGTGGGTTGTTCATCTAGTCCAACACGAATGCTATTTCGACTGAGTCACCACGGCTTCATACTGGGTGAAATAGGATGGTGTCACTGGAGGGGGTCCAAGAGGTCCTGGAGAGGGAGCCCTCCGCTTGGGATGACAGGGTCCTTGACAAATGTGGCAGAAAATCATTTTATTTCATTTTTATTTTTTTGTACCAGGGATTGAACCCAGGAGTGCTTAACCACTGAGCCCCATCCCCAGCTCTATTTCTGTTTTATTTAGAGACAGGGTCTCACTAAGTTGCTTAGGGCCTTGCTAAGTTGCTAAGGCTGGCTTGAACTCACAGATCCTCCTGCCTCAGCCTCCTGCTGGGAGTACAGGTGTATGCCACAGCATGTGGCTGGCAGAAAAGAAAAAATTTTAAGACATGAGAGATCCAAGGACAAGCAGAGACTTGCTCAGGAAAGGGAGAATGCAGGGAGTGAGAGGCCTTGGGGGTCTTGAGCTCTTCTTTGAAAGGAAGCTGTGAGGTTTGGCCATGAGAAGGCCTGTGGGGTGACCTCAGTGTGGCTGGCGATCACTGTTTCCAGAACCTTCCTCATCATGTGATGATCAACAGACAACATTTGGAATGAACCGGGTTGTAGAGGTTTCCTAAAATATCATCTCTCCCTTTGTTTCATCTATTCCAAAAATACATGTGTTGATACAGTGCTCAGGGAAGTTTTATAACTGAGTGAATTTCTGGTAGCTTTAAGATTGTGAGTGAGGATTTGTAGATTTCCCAGAGATCCAGGAGCGACCCACTTGGGGACAGGCACGCGGATCTTCAGTGCAGGTGCCCAGGTTAAGGTCATATCCCCTTTTCCTTCCTTTGTCTCCTTTCTACCTGTCTTTTCTTTCCTTTTCTAGAAGTTTCTTGGCTACTCCTGGCCTGTACTCTTCTGGATAGGTATCTCTCTATACATACTTAGCTCTTCTTTAATATTTTTATGCATGGATCTAGCAAATCTTTTGCTGAAAGCATTCATCCCTTTCTGCTTTTTGGAAGTTAAACATTTTATTTTGAATGCTCATACGTTTGTTTGTAGTTGTACAAAATAATACAGAGCTCTCACGCACACTTTGCCCTGCTTCCCACCATGGTTAACATCTCGTGCAATTATTACAGTTCATAAAATGTGACCACCAGGATGTGGACATTGAGATGGTGAAGGTTCGAACTCACCTGGCACCCTCAGGATCCCCCTGTTGTGTTGTCCAGCCAGCCCTGTGTCACTGCTGCCCCACCACTCTTAGTTCCTGGCAGCCACGGGTTATTTTCCATTTCTCTAATTGAGTCATCTCAAGAGTGTTCTGTACGTGGGTCATAGAACAGCTGACCTCCTCTGGCCAGCAGTTTTCAGGCATTGCTGCTGTACCAATAGTGTGTTCCTCTTCATTGGTGGGTAGTATTTCATTTTGTGGATGCACCACAGTTAGTTTAACCGTGAGCTGATTGAAGGACACCTGTGTTGTTTGTCTTGGGATATTTTGAATAAAGCTGCTATAAACATTCATGTATAGGCTTCTGCATGAACGTTGTCTTCCTTTCTCTGGGATGCATTTTTCTTTTAAAAATATTTTTATCAGTGCGTTATAGTTTTACAGAGTAGTGGGGTTCATTTTGATGTGATCACACCTACAGGGAATATAATTTGCTCCATTTCAATCCCTGGTCCTGCCTCTTTCCCTCTCCTTCTCCCTCCCAGTGTTCCTCTTGTGCTATTCTCCTGGTCTTCTGTTGATGGTTTTTTCAGTCGATGCTTTATAGATACACAGAGTAGTGACATTTATTGTGGTATGTTCACATAGGTACATAGCTTAATTTGGTCAGTTTCAATCTGAACCTGTTTTCCACGATGGTGGTACCATTTCACACCCTCACCGAGTGGTTTCCACAGTCTTGCCAACGCTAGGTGTTGCAATGGCTCGTTGTACATGTCATCTGGACTGGCCATGAGGTTCCCAAATTAAACATTCTTTCTGGGTCTGTCTGAGGGTGTTTCTGGATGAGATCATACATTGGAGTGGATGGATTCAGTCGAGATTGCACTCCCCACTTTGGGGGTGCATCATGGAGGGCTTGAGTTGAACCTGGAGGCTGGGGAAGGAGGACTTGGTCTCTTTTCCCAGACTCACCACTTGATCTGGGACATCTTTCACCTTCTGCTCTGGGGTGCGCCATTGGCACCCTGGTTCTCAGGACTTGAGACTCTGCAGAACCGTCTCTTCCCTGGCCTCCAGGGAAGCTGCTGATCAGGGTCTTCCCGGCCCCTCTTACTGTTGGAAGCCAACTCCCATAAGAAATCATATATATCACTTTAAGTCCTATTAGTTCCGTTTCTCTAGAGAGCCCGACCAACGCGGGCGTCGTCATTATTTTTACTTTTGCCGTCCCAGTGGGCACGCGGTGATAGCTCACTGGGGTTTTACTCTGGGTCCCCCGAGGGCTAATGATGTTGGCCATCTTTTCGCCTGCTTGTTTGTCATCTGTATGTCCTTTCTGACAAAATGTCTGTTCGTGTCTTTTGCCCTTTCCTAATTATGCTGTGGGTTTACTCTTGAGTTGTGAGAGTTCCTTATGTTGATGAGAAACTCCTTTTTCATCAAGTCTGTGTTTTGAAGATATTTCCTCCAGTTTGTAGCTTCTCTTTTCAGCCTCCTCATAGGGTCAACAGACAGAGTTAACCTATTAAATTCTGATGAAGTCAAGTCTATCAGTTTTTTTCCTCTTTTGATGGTGGTTTTTGTGGTGTCAAGTTTGATTAACTCATCCACTGCCCCCCCACCCCATATTGTGAGGATTTTCTCCTGAAAGGTTTAGGGGTCACACGACTTTTGTGTTAATGTTTCTAGAAGGTGCAGGGCTCAGGAGACGGTCACACTTCACGGTGGACGCTGTGACGGTCTTGCTGTGGCACCTGTGTTAAACAGTCCCTCTCCTCCCCTGAACTGTCCTCACACCTTTATCAAACCCCTAGGGCATGTTTGTGGGGGTCTGCTCCTGGGTTCTCTACTCTGTGAGTTGGTCTGCGTGTCTGTCCCTGGCTTGGTCCACGACCTTGGTCACTGTAGCTGTAGGGCAAGGGGTAAAACCAGGGAGCCAGCTTCTTGGCACATTTCCCTCGTCTCCCCAAAATATTTTGACTCTTCCAGTTCTTTTGCCTTTCCATATAAATTTTAGAAGACTCTTGTCTATATTCTCCTGGCCATTCTCAGTCAGTCCCCAGCCTCAGTCAACTATGGTCAGACTTATCACTACAGATTAGATTTGTCTTTTCCAGATTTTTTTTCTGTAGATGGAATCATACCAAATGTTCTCTTGTCTGATTTCTTCCATTCATCATGAAGTTTTTGAGGGTCATCATGCTGCATATATATCTCCATAGCTCCATGGTTGCTATGGAACAGTAAGCGTGTGATGAACGGATGTCTGTCTGTCCACCCTATTGGTGGGACTTTTTGTGGTTTCCAAGCCTTTGGCTGTTTATTGCAAAACCGCCCATGAAGGTCTGTGTGCAGGTCTCTGTGTAGGCATCTTGCTCGCTTGGCTGTGTGTCTGTTAGGAACCGCTAGCTTGTTTTCCAGAGTGTGCACATTTTGCCTTTGCACCAACAGTGTGTGAGAATTCCAGCCGCCTTACTCTTTGCCACACTTGGTGTTCTCGTTCTTTTAATTTAGCCATTCTAGAGGGTATTCTGTAGTCTTTCATTACCTTTTGGTCTTATTTTATTTTATTTGTGGAGGAGGAGAAGTCTATTTTGGCTCCTGGTTTCAGAGGACTCATAGATGGCTGACTCTGTAGCGCTGGGCCCAAGGTGGGGCA